TGCAGCCTTGCTATCAATCCATCCCTCTTTAAATGCTGGACTTTGACAAGTCCTGGGAAAACCACTGCTTCCCAGAGCACTCCTGAACATCTGCTGAGTGGCTCTGGAGCAGGATTTCACTCACACTGCTGCTTCACTCCACTGTACCAAACCTCAGCAGCTCTCCTGGCCAGGACTGAGAGGGAAACAAAATGTTCAGGCTGAAGTCTGAATTCAAGATGGATGAATTCAATGGGTTTGCATTTAAAAACAAATACTACAGCAACAAAAACACCAAGAGACAAAACTGACATAATGCCCAAAACTGGGGATTCTTTTGTGAGTACCTAAAAGAGATAAAATTAACATATTAAAGGCACTTTAAAACCAAACAATTCTAAAGAAAAGGTGAGCTTAAATTCTGTTAAAATGCTTCAGCCTCTCCACAATAAAAAGAGCCAAAACCCTTCAACATTTCTTCAATTTTCCCCTCCCTTATCATTCATTTCACTCCCCTCTCTCTTCTGTGCATGAAACTATTAGTCTGCTCAAAATACATTTTGTCTTTCCACAAATATATAATTTCTAAGTTGAATTGAATCTCATTTAAACTTCAAGCTTCCAGGGGAGCAAAATACCCCACTTCTGAGCTAAGAGTCATCTTACACCAACACCAAAATAACTTTTCCTTAAAGATGGTGGGACTAAAAGGAGATGACCCACAAAGACCAGTGAGGGCTGTGGGTCTGGCCCATGGTGAGGAGACAAAGGATGGGCCTGCCCATGACACTAGAGGACATTCATTGTCCCACTAGCATGCACAGTGGAGTTTCCTACTGGCAACATTTTGGAAGCACCAAAAAGGACCTGGGTGCCACCTAGTGCTGTTTTACTCAGACATTAATTGTACAGAAATGCAAAGGCTAATTATACCTAACTTTTACAGGTTCAGCACACCATGCCTCAGACTGGCTTATCATGCTTCCAGCAGGCACCTTTGGAAGATCCAGGGATGCGTGCCCAAATCCCACTGTGCACTCACAAGCACGCTGGGTGCTGAGCAGATGCACAGCACTACACATTAAAAAACCATCTTGAATGAGCAAAGAATGGCAAACCAAGTCAGAATTTATGAAACTGGGAAAGGGGATGAGACAGCCCTTGGAAGCACCAAAACGGTTATCAGACCCCTTCATGAAGCAACAAGCAAGCAAAGGTTTCAGTGCCTTACAAAGGGAATCTTCTGTGGAATTACCTTGGAGAGTAATTGATTTACAGAGAAAGGGAAAAATCTTCCCCATAAGCATATTTCACTGGAAGCAGGGAACTGTAGAACAAGAACTTTCACTTTGAAACTCCTTTTATTTAAAGGCAATTTAGCTTGAAGAATCCACCAGAGCTCACATTTTCCAGAACAGCCCTCCCTTCGTCCTATTAGCTTCCTTCATGAAATGTACCCCTTTCCCAAATATTTAATTGTAGCTACAAACTCCATTTCAGCTGTACACCTTATTTTGAGGAGTCTGAACACAGCATAGGCTTCAGAGAACCACGGGTTTGGAGGGGACCCAAGCTCCTTCCAACTTACATGTTCTGGCAGTCAGATGAAACAATCACTACAACTGCCCATGCTCCTGCAATTCCGGAGTTCACACCATGGGATTTTTTGCATTACAGAAATCACACTGCAGCTCCAGCAAAAGCAGAGTCTACCAACCTTCTCTATTAGCCCCCCTTTCCAGAAAGCCAGATTCACTAAGGGCAGAAGCCTTGATTTGATGGCAGGAACTTTTAACTTGAAGGAGCTGAAAGGGTCATCCATTCCTGTACCAGACAGTCTGTTTAAGATCATTCCGATTTGGCTCAGCTCTACACCACCTTTTTGGAGAGTCACAAATAGTCTCATCCAATTGTGAGCAGGAAGATTTTCAATATTTTCGTTGATGTGGACATGAAGAGAGACCTGGTGATGCCAGTTTTCCTGCAAGGAAACAGAGTCTGCACTAAGCTTCTCTCTCCTGTCCCCTCCTTTCAGGGAGCAAGGAACCAACACCCCAAAGGCCACAGATCAGTTTCCAGAAGACTTAATCTTGGTTTATGCAAAAGCAAAAGGGGCAAAGGGCAAGACTGCACAGAAAGTGAGAACCAAGCAGTTCTCTTCCATGCAAAGAAGGGTGAATACAGTACCAAGCTGATGTTTCATTGCAAGACAGCCCAAACAAGAACTTGGCTATCAGGCTGTGTGCCATCTCCATAGTTTTTGGGTGCATTTCTCAAACATCTACATGCTGATGTTGCCAGGAATCAGGAATTCTTTAAGAACTAGTTGTGCATCCTAAACCTTTCCTTATTTTCTCCCTTTCCATGTCATCCTCCTTTCCAACAGCACATTTTGCTTTTGTTTGTTTCTACTTAACCAAGGTCATTGAGATACTTGATTTGGGACAGAGAAGTCATCAGCAAAAGTCATTTTGGATGAACCCAAAAACGTGTTTGTTTTGTTGGGTTTTTTTTAAAAACAAGTAAATCACTTCCCACAGCACAGAGGGAGGCCAAAAGCAGAACATCCATAACTCTGACACTACACAGTGTTTAACAGACACAGGTGCATGTCCCACACAGGCAGCTCTTATTCCCCTATGAAACGTCTAAGAATCACACAGAACACTGAAATACTTAAGAAGAGAGGCAACAAACACTTCTTGTCCCAAGTGCTGGTGAGGTACTAAGTCCCTTTGGAAGCAGAAGCATAACAAGAGGCAAGAACATGAACCACCCCACTTTACAGCAGGGTGCATTTAGTAACTATGCACGTAGGCCATCCTCAAAGGCGAGTCACAGGTTGTTCCTGCTGTCCAGTGATGTAAGGAATTTTGTGGAGCTGGTCTGGCACCCGCTGGCCACCTCTGGTATTGCTCCTTACCAGTCACTTTATCTACTTCTGTAGCTGGGAAGGCCACCGCATGAAACACATCGAACAAAAATCCCAGAGGCCCTGCAGTGGTGCCTGGACAGACATTAAACACACACCTATAAATGAGACACGGTAATAGCTGGGCAAATAAAACCAGAAGTTACACCTGAGGGTTTCCATCCTATTGATTTCTTGGCTAGTTAACTGGAGAGGTTTGCACTGGACTTCATAGAAATTCTCATCCAACCTCCACTGCTCCAAATGAGCAGCTGTTCTGTCCTCCTCATTCTCTTCATTGCTCCCAAACTACCATGATTAGCTTAGAAGGGAGGACCTATCCCATTTCCAGCCTCTCTAGACAAAGGAGGAGACACACAGTTTAGTCCTCAACTGTCTTAAAACCTTGGCTTTGCAGATAAAGTTTTAAGGATTAGAAAGTGAACTGCATTGTCACTTAGCAGCTCAGATGAGGACAGTATTTGACCAAGGAGCCCAACTGTTTGCAGCTGCTACAGCCAGTGTCACACAGAGCAGCTGCTTGAGGGCTGAGGACAGGGTGAACTGGCTGTTCAAACCCCAAAGCAAGAGACCAGAACTCACCCCCTGCCACCAGCTGGCCGGCATTGGAACAGATTCACAGAATCTAAATGTCCGTGAGAATCGAGAATGAACAAAATGCTCTTAAGATCCCCCTGCTTTTCCTGCTGCCATGTTCTCTCCCAGCCCTACTCCTGGAAGTTTTTGGTGCATAGCAATGATGGACAGAGGCTATGCAAACCTTACAGGTAACAAGGGGCAGTGGTGGCAAGTTCCTGATGCCACCATTCCCCACACCCCAACAGTGCAAACAGGATACTCTGCTTGCTTTCACCCCAGTCCAGGGCTTCTGCTTCCCAAAGCCTGCCTGCATGCAGTGACAGGATGATTGCCTTAAAAACTGACACATCAGTTCAGCCTCATTTGCTGGCTTGAGTACAATGTACAAGTGTTGGCACTTATTTTCACAGAATGTCAGAACTGAAAACAAAGCCCAGCTTTATACAGTAGTAAGACTGATTTACTGTCAGTTAAAACCCTCTGAAGGCTGTGAAAGCCTCCACCTGCTGCCCTTCTACCTCCAGCTCTTCAAACCCAAGAACGCCTCTTCCAGCTTTGTCCATGACACGATTCCCTGCACTTCCAGGCAGCGCTGCAACCCCCAGTGCAAGCCAAGCTGCGGACACACCAATGGAGACGACTAAAAGAGAGGCAGACAAGAAGTCTGTGACGACTGAGCTTTGCTCCTCCACTAGAAATCCGCTTTCTACAAGCAGCATTTCATCTTTAACCACCACCTGAAGCTACCTAAGGTCTCTCTCAACAAACACCACAGGACAGGTATTTGGTAAAAGAGATGTATATTTATTCACTTTACAAAGAGGGTGGTATTTAGTTGCAACAGCTCCATTTATAGACAAATATATTATTGTACATTATAGTGGTGAATGGCTCAAACCTTTACCTTGTTTTGCTCTTAAAAACGTGTTTGCACCACTTCAGCTTCCATTAGCTGAGCAAATAGCTGTCCTTGTTCTGCCACTGAGATTAAAAATCCATAAGAAAGGTATAGCTCTGTGCTGTGTATTCACAAGTATTCAACTTCTCCTTCCCTTGTGTCACTCCCCTCTCCCCACCCAATTCAACATGGTCTGTCCTCTGGGTTAGCATTAAATTTATATACAGCCTCCATTAAAACAGAATTAGGAGCCAGTAATAGTACTAATGTCCTTTTAAAGCACAAGAAAAGTCATTGATTTGTACATATAAAAGTCTTGAGTTCAAATTTGTTAAAAAAAAAAAAGGAAAAATCCATTTTTAAGTCGAGTCGGCATTTACACATTGCCAAAGTATGGCTAAGCCAATGAAAGGGGGGGGAGAAAAGAATTTCAGGACAGAATTTAAATATTACAAAAATATCTTTTTTTTTTCTTTTTTCTGTTTCCTTTTTTAAAAAACAAAAATCAGAAGGATGCCCACTTGCTATTGCTAACTGAAGCATGGAAAGAAGGTATAGACCAGATGTCTTTGATCCTTGAATATTTGAAACAAATTCAATATAAAGCTGAACCAAGTTTCCCACACAAACAGCGGTGGCAGATTTATTTCACTTGAGATACAAATGCATGTCCACATGACAGGCATAATCTGACCAGGAGGTGGAGGAAATGTTTCTCTAAGTAAGCGCAGGGAAGGAGGGCGAGAGAAGGCTGGCACGGTTAAACATTCTGGATTCAGAAATGCAGTGCCCCACAGGTGCCTCTGCACACAGGCTGTGCAATGCTCTGCACTCCTGATATGCAAATACAGCACCTTTCAGCAACAGGATCCAGAATCAAAGAGCTTGGTGGCCCACTTGTTCAAACCACTAAATTACTCTTTCGTGCTGTTATTCTTCTTCACTTTCATTTTCTGGTTCCAAATCAGAATCACCATTAATTTCCTTTTCAACAGTCATGTCTTGTTCATCAGATTGCTCCTCTTTTTCTTCATCTTCATCCCAGTTTTCCTGGGGGAAAAATAAAACAGAAATGTTTGAACCTTTGTTAGTCACACCATTTCTGCTACAAGCAAATGGGAGATCTGGTCCAACTCCACTTACATCAGAGTCTTTATCTGCAATCATCTCATCATCTGAGCCTTCCTCCTCCGAGGAGTCTGTAAAGAGAAAACAATCTTTCAGTCTGGGGAACAGGCTTTAAAATATCATTGTGCAAACAAAGTCCAGTCCCACATGCTGCCAAGTCTTCAAGCTGTTCTATTTCCATACCAAAACTGATTCTACCTTGAGATGAGGTAACCAACATCAGTTAAGACCAGGTCACTTCCATTACCAATACACAGGGTGAAGATGCAGCAGGAAAAAAGCCAAACTGGAAGTATGCACTCACACACATGGACGTCCCCTACACTGATGTCCTGCTGACTCAAACATAGCAGTGCCTTCACTGTATCTACCTTACCACAAGGGCAGGTAACACTAAAAGTTTTAGGTTGCCAGGTAAGTTAAAGCAGCACACCAAACTTCTAATTTGCTGATTTCTTCATTTGTACAGCAAGGCTGGGAGGAAATTAAAGGAGATAAAAGGAAGGCAAGGAAGGAGTAACTAACTACAAGATGTCTACATCATTCTCCGCTGATTTTCCTGCCATGGACATTTCACAAAACCCCTCTATCTGCAGAGTGTATGCTGGTAGATAAGCACAGGTGCATGATGAACAGCCATCAAGTGTAGGCTGTCATGTGAATTCAAGAGCTGAGCTACACTTAGCATACAACACTTACCATCCTCATAGACCAGCTTTGCAGTCTGATTAACCTCGGGTACATCCTGAACTGTTTGTGATGCTGCAACCTGAATGGAATTTGCAGATTAGCCTTAGATTAAATCATATATTTCAACCTTGAAAGACAAGAAAACTCCTAACAATGTAAATTAAATCTACATTAAGGGTAGTACACATTAATTCACTTACAGTGCTGGTTTAACAGCCAGAAAAGTAAAAATGGCAAGGTAAAATCAGAGAGGCATCTGTTCCAAAGTGTCCCAGTGCCTCCTATTTATTCCTCTTTAAAACTCTGTGGGTGAGCAGACATATCTGGCAGGACAAAACAGTCCCATTGAGCAGGGACTGACAGGACAGTCAATTAATGGCCTGCTCTGAGTGTTATCATTGTCCCTGAACAGCAGCTGCATTAAAGCGCCCAGGACAGATCACATCAGATGCAATCCCAAGATGAAGCAAAGTCTGCAAACAGTACCCCCCCGCACATCCCATGTTATGTAGTTGAAGCTCACCTGGGTGACAAGAATGAAGAGTCTTCCATGCAGACGGGAAAGCTTTTGCAAAGTTTTTACTCTGCTCTCCATCAACTGGTACAGCATTCCCAGCTGAGGAATAAGGTCTGGCAACTTAAGAGAAGAAACAAATGAAAGAAAAATGAAGCTGTTAACAAACACATCCCAAATGTTTTTGGTTTTTTAAACTACTTTTGTTTTGTTTGGAGCAAGCAATGCTTGCTTACATTATCCTAGGCAGAATGGAGAGCTGAGGGTTCACAGGAACCACCTGCAGCCTGATCAATTAACGCTTAGCCATGCTTAGAAGTATCATCTACGTTTAAAGCATGGCGGTTCTTAGACTCCTTTTCCTTTCCAGTCTCTGCCACATGCAGGGGTGGAGCACCTGTGTAAGTGGGAACTGAACATACACCGGTGTCTGAATGCAGCCTCAGCAACGTGTGCAAGTTCTGCTGCTCAGCAATCCTGTAACAAATGGCAGAAAGGACAGACACTGCCCAAACATCTTTTCCTTAACCCACCAAGAGTGCTGTATCCATCACTTTTAAGGCAAGGCTAGACTTCAATCCAGAAGCTACAGCATTCCTTCTTATCCTGCCAACTTTGGCACAGCCCTTACCCTATATATCTGGCCATGCCCAAGACAGCCTCAATATGAGCATTACAAGAACAAAGAAAGCAGTTCTGTAAGATCTAGTGACACAGGCTAGATTACTCTTGGCAGTAATTTTGTTCCCTCTCACAGGTGTGACATAACTTATTTTGGTATGACTTTGGGATGGCTATAATTATGTCAGGAATGACTGAGGCCAACAATTTATCAGCAATGTGCAGTGAGTTCAGCTCAAGTGGTGTAAGCAAAGCTCTCTATACATTGATTTCGGCACTGCCATATGCAGAGAGTAGGAAAAGGATTCCTGAAGAAAATACGTTTATTTAAGCATTTAAATGTACTTTTACTTAAGTGCATTGGCATGAATGAAATATACTTACTGTGGAAAGGTAGGATGCATGTAGGGTAAAAACAGACTTCAGCCATCGAACCATTAGTGAGGCACTAGAAAAGAGAAATAAATTATATCCAAGAAGTACTGGCTGAGAGACACACATTTTACATTCTAGATGCTAAATAGTTCTATATAAAGTGATCTTTTTTAATTAGAGGGCAAGATAAACGCTCCCTACAGATGGAAATGTAAAGTTTGGCTACCTATATGAAGTATGCAAGTTATTCATTAGGAAAGGAACAGACATTTCCGTGAGGGACTAAACTAGGCAAGCTCAGGGTATGCTTCTGAAATTTTTTATGGATGGTCTCAATGAATAAAAGATCAAAGCATGCTACTTTCTTCTCTACTTACAATGAGGGAATTTATATTTAGAAAAAATAAAGTCAAACCCAAACCAATCTAACCCCCATAACTCAGCACAGCCCATGTCAACAAAGCTGTCCTTATGGCAACCATAAGATGGAGGAGGGGAAGCTGGTTCTGTTATTAGACATTAAGAGATGTCTAAATACATTTGATAATTAAACTAGCTCTACACCTGAGAGTTATTTTATTTATTGACCAGATCCATAATGTAAACATCTGGGGCCTTCAGTTACATACAGAGAGTTACACCCTCATTTTAGGTATCCTTTTCCCTTTTTAATTTCACTTTAGCCACCCTGACAAAGCACTGTTTTAAGTGTTTTAAGTTCCTCTTTCCACTCTCAATGAGATGAGTTATTACCTCCAGATTCTGCAGTTTAATTGCAGTTAGAATGGAGATCTATCACGTACATGGGAGGAGGGACCATAACACACACATGTGAACAGTTTTTGATGAATTGAACTGTAGTTGAATTGTCTCTTACCTGTATGGGTTGCCCTGCAATCTCTTTGTAAGCTAAAAGAACAACAACAAAAACCAGCAATAAGTAACAAATACAATGAGTTTAAAACCCCAACATGAGATCACCTGACAGCCCCAATACTGGGGCAGAAAGTTCTCCAGGCATTTGAGGTTTTCTAGGCTCAACCACTGCCAGGCTCCAGAAAATTACAATGCTGGCTCTACCACCCTCTACACAGGCTGGTAACTTGCAGAACCTGGGTTTCAGTATTACAAGCAAGCTGGAACTCTTAACATGCAAAATATCCACTGAAGCTTAAACCTGGCAGGAATAAGTGGGAGGAAACCTCTATCATCTCCGTTTATCTGCTTAGTAGAGCAGTTGTTACAGGGTGGACAAGTTGGGGAAATAAGTGAAGGAAGTATCAGGTAAAGGCCACTTCACACAACAAGCTTGGGAGAAGACACAAAGGTCTGACCATCCACTAGGATTATAGAGCTAAACACTTGCACTTAGATTCCCCAGCAAAGGTCCCAGGGAAGAAACGCAGCATCTCATTAACATAAGCCTAAGGAGGTGCTATAAGACCAAACTTTGAGCACCAGGCCATCTGCATAATTCAATTAAAATCAGGTAATTAAAATTCAATAAAAAAATTTGATTGCATTTATGGTCAGCACATTAAAATACAAAAGAAACTGAACCATTCACTTATGTAATAGAATATCATTCACATAACAAGAGCTACTAACCAATGTTTGGTTTAAAAAAGTAATGTCCAGTCAAGGCTAATCATTAAAGTATTTCTGTCTAAATAGAGTTATATTTAATATCACTGTATAAGCCATTCAGAAGCCAAATCCATTTTAAAATTACTACTTTGTGAGGTTTGAAGATAAAATACAGCAAATGGACTTACTGATGCTTCAAATTATCATCCATGTTAGTAGCTGAAAAGAAGATGTAATGGTGATTGTTTGCCTTGGACTAAACAAGCTTTTGCCTCATCTCTTCCCTTTCTTTTCCCACACAATCATTTAAGATAGTAGTACATAATCTAATACTCTTCCTAGCTTTGACAGTGACACTTGGTCCTTTGGCTAAGCTTCAGCCAGAAAATATAAAAGTGTATCTAGGATAAATTAAGAAACATTTCAGTCCTCTTATGGCACCAAACCAATTTCAAACATATCCTGGATTTTAGTAGCTAGCAGGCAAATCACACGTGGCTTGTATGACAGTACAAGCGCAGGCTCTCTTACCTCATGGAGCAGTGGAATGACAGCATGTATAGGCATTCTGGCTACTGTGTTCTTTACTATATTTTCTTTCCTTGTGTTAAGCACTTTCTGTTAGAATGAAAAAAAAAGATCAGAGAATAATTCAGCTTCAACAGGTGTATGAACAATCAGCAAAATCAGAAATTCCTGCCTGTTAATCTCTTCCTACTCCACTACTTTTGTACACTGAGGATAACGAGCAAAAGATTTGCAAAGAAAATTTTCTAAGTCAGGTACAATTAACAAAGTCAAGACACTCAAACTCATCTAAAACAATCTGGTATTGCCTCTAGCCCACCTGCCCCATGTTAGAAATGATGCATTGCAGACACATTAAAATCTCCCTTGATGTTTTCTGTTTGACTTCCATAAAGAACTGCCTTTCACCAGTCATTTGTGACAAGAAATTTCTATTCAGCATCAAATTCTTAACAGTTCCCTGCCCCAGCACTATTATGTCCTCCTAGTCCAAATGCAAAGACAAGCTTTTCAAATGAAACTTGTCATCAATCCATTTTTCAAACAGTACCTGCTTGAAAAATGTACCCTCAGGAGACTAAGCACAGATTATGCTCCAGTCTAAGCTAAAGGGAACACAGCTGCATTGGTAGCATCACTTGTAAAACATCTGAACTGTGACACAACAGATTTACCATAAACAAAATGCCTCAAAGTTCAGGGACTGACTCAGAAAGCAAGGCAGGTAAAAAGAGAAAAGTAACACCACTACTATAATTCAGACTAGCACTGTCTTGAGCAGCAAATCAGCTAAAAGCAGCTGGGAGAAATAACAGGTTCTGAACTGTTAAGCCTTCCCAGCTTTCAGGAAGGCTTCCCACCAGCCCAAGTGAACAGATCCAACAGCACACACTGAGCTTGCAAAACTTACATTTAAGATTTCTGCATCATTGCTTTCCAAGCCCTGAACCAGCAGCACGGCAAAGCTGTCTGTTTGGGGAAGGCCACCTGGAGTTTTGACTTTGCTAACATCAATATCCAATGCCCCAAGGCGCTCCTCAATGCTCTCCTACAGAGGGGAAATAAGGGCAGTGCTACGTTAGTGTCATTTTCTCACAAATATCAGCTGAAAGCAAAGTACCCAACTTTGAGCATTCCTGATAATTCTGCTGCAAAAGAACACAAATTTTGGGTATTTTAAATGCACTGACAGAAGACAGCATGAGAAAACAAAAGCAGATGAAGTTTTGGCTGAAAAGCACTAATCCATCTTGGCATAGGCAGCAACAAGTGTGTGACAAAGTTGTGCAACAACCTGGCAAAACCACAGGTAAGGCACAGAGGGCCTGAATGAAGGAAATGTTTTGAGCAGGGTTAAGTCTCTTTCATACAGAACCATGGTATCATTAACCTTTCTTCCACAGCAAACAAAGCAAATTCAAGTTCACCTAAAGAAGGTATAGCAATGATTTATAATTCTAGTTTCTCCATTCTCACTGAGTTTGAAAGAAGGAGCCCATTACCTCTGTCTCTCCTGGTTTCCTCTTGTTTTTCTTTTTCTCCTTTCCCGAGGCTGGAGTTTTGACAGCTGTACTATGTCCTGGAATGCCAGGCACTAGAACTTTGGTGTCTGAGTTCACAACAGGTGTCTTTACCTAGTACACAGAGAAAACCACATTTACATGAATTGCTAGTATCTTGAGATTTCTTTCACTTTAAAATATAATTTATTCTGAGACTCTCACCAGCCTGACACAACCCACTTTCTTGACATAATTAGGCAAATCAGACAAATATTTAAGAGAATGAATAACCTCAAGAAACAAAGAGCTAATTTTCACAATTAACTAAAGCAGTGGTCTCTTTGGAATCACCTGTGAACCTTTCTTACAAGCTTTTGCCTTAACATTAACAGAACTGTTTGTATTCAACAGCAAATATTTGGATGTTTGTTGGCAATAGGTATCACCTGTGCTAACAGTCAGCTCCAGAAACCACACATGCAGATTAATTGAGCATCCACTGGAAGGCAATAACTGACCAAGAAAAGCAGCACAATGTAACAGCAAAAGGTAGTCACTATTCCCTCCAATCCCAACTCTTTTCTTCTAGGGATTGCTCAGACACAGCACTCAGTTGTCTGAATTAGGCTGTGACCACAGTGACAAAGAGACACCTTAGTTTATACTGAACAAGCTATGGTATCATCTTCAATGAACACAAAGGAGATGGAATTTTGTATTTAACAACCAAATGCTCCCCTGGCTCACAGAGAATGTAGGGCAGTATGCCACTTCCAGAGTATCAAAAATGCATTTTTTGCTACTTCCAGAACACTGCTTTAAACCATAGGACTTTCTATCCAGGCCCATTTTTTTAAGTACCTCTGAAGTGATAAAAGTATAATCTACTACACTGAGCAAAGCAACTTCCAATTTCCAAAGAGTTGATTTTCTGCATCAAGAATTTTATAACAGAACACCAGTGGTGATAAAATACTATCCCCTTTGCTCACCACACATCTCTGACCTTCTCCACACACGGCATGCTCAGACAGCCAAGAGAAATGCGTCTTCACTGGAATTCAGCAAAAAGCGAAACCAAGATGGGTATCATCACTGCATGCCACAGAGGCCCTGCACCTGTCCCTGCAGTTCAGCCCTGCTACCCACCAGCTCTAAGACTGGGGAATCAGCATAAAACCCTGCCTGGCTGATAGAGCACCAGATCCAGTAGATAACTAAAGGGTCAGAAAACAGTGCTGTCTGCTCACTTCACTGATGCTCCAAGCATTTCGTATCTTCAAGACCTTGAATATACACAATGATTAAGAACTTGACATCCACTCTCTAAACACCCAGGGGATCCTGCAAGAGAGGACACTGCTGCCCTCCAAGTGCCAAGCTCACATTCCCAGGTCCCTGTGAGCAGGAACACAGGAAGAAAGAGCAAAAAGGACTTGCCCCTCAAGGTTCCACTACATTTTATTTAGACTCTAATACAATGTCACACCACATTCACCTCAAACTATTGGGGTCAAAAAGGTTGTACAAAGCAACAGACTCTAAGGGAAGGGCTGATCTTATACAGAAAAACCCCACCAATGAGTCCTGTCTCTGAAGCAGACCTACTGAGTTAAGAGAGGGCCACTGTGTGCTCTCACACATGCCAGCACACAAAGCAGCCATGAAGAACTCTACCCACAACTGCTAGAGTGCTATGGACATCTATAGCTACCTCTGCAGCTCTGAACAGGTCCATCCAAAAATCCAATCTCATTTTAAGAGACCAGTGAATGTTACCTACTTCATTTCTGAAGTAAAACAAGAGAAGCAACAAAATCACATTTCATGCAGAGCTCACCTTTGTTAGAGCAGCATCTGTTTTAAGTGACAACACTTTCTGGATGTCCCGTACCAAACATATGTGGGATTCACTGCTGTTCAAAGACTAGGACAAGAACAAAACCAGTTAATATATTTGACATTCACACTATGACACACTATATTTCACACTATGATTCATTATGTTACTGAAAGATGAGAATAAATTCAAATGGTATAAATTAGAATTTAAGTTTTTTTCACTCTAGAATAGCAGCTCCTTTGCATATCTGCCTTTTGTTACAAGATGTCTATACCCTCCAAGGACATTTACACAGGTAAACTGGAACTGTATTAAAACCAGTTTCAATGGCCTAATTCAGTGACAGCTGAAATGGCAAGAAACAGCCAGCAATGACATCAACCTGTACTCAAACTGAAAAAATGGAATACAAATCGCCTTTCCAAACAGCTCTGGGGCAACAGTCACAGCTCCCAAAACAAGGACAAGAAATATGTTTTGTATTGTTATATCATTTCAAAACAGTAAAGATAAAAATAATTAACTTAAAAATTTCTTCAACTGAAAGCAGCATGCGGTCCATATTACAGAATCCAACCCTCTCTGTTAAGTTTTACATACCACTTTCTCTATGACGGGCTGTAAGGTGTTTCCATACACCAGCAGCAGAGACTGTTTGTCTGTGCAAAATGCAGCTGCTAGAATAGGGACAGGTTTCGGTGTGGAGTCTCCATCATTCCCAGGTGTTGCTATCTGAATAGTACAGTTTGATGTTAAGGGTTTTTTGCAATAACTGGAAAAAAAATTAAAAAATTCCAAGATGTTTAGCTTGAACACTTCAATATCTTGCACATCTAAGCATCTTTCATTAGCAGGTCCTCAACAAACTCAGCCATTTTACACCTTTTATGGATGGCTAAGATGAGGCACAGACAGACAAAACCTGGGTTAAAGCCACACGTGATACCAAAGTGCAACACAGTCCCCAACAAGTGAGTTCTTCAAAAACGTGTCCAGTAACCCAGGACAAAGAAGCAGCTGGAACCTTTTTCATGAGAATATACAAGAGCTAAATGGCAACAGCATAACAAAACTGAGCTTTGCCTTGCAGTAACCCCAGACCTTTCCCAAAGACACCCTCAAGATGAATCCTAACTTACCCATTCAAGATATGTTCAAATAAATGCAACTGCCCATCTCTGCACACAACTGCTAACTTCACAGGCTGCAAGAAGGCACAGTAAGAGAGTTTCATTAGATCAAAGGAAAACCCTCCTGGAAGTTCAAGATATCAAGAGACAGTTGTATGGCTACAATTTGAATTTTTTCAGTATTTAAGAACATTACACTAAATCTGAAAGGAAGATCAAAGATGTAATCACTCAGGAACATGCAGTACAAGTGTTAGAAGATTAATATGATAACTCTCAACTATAGTGTGTCACTAGTAATATATCCTGAGTTAAACTATTTGCACAGTAGCAGGCCCATGTCTGGAGGCACAGCTCTGCAAAGGTGCTGATGCTGTGAATATGCTTGAGGAAACAAACTGAGATGACTCCTCTGAGAAACTAAATGACGGGGTACATTACAGAATACTCTCCAATACATGCAGGAAGAGGGAACTGGAAATATTAGAAAAATATAGCATGAAATACTGCTCTGAGAAATGGAATTTAAAAGCAGCAGGAGAAAAATGTTTTAAATAATTATGGGAACAGTTTGTGAACATGTTTCACATTCACACATTTTTCACAAGGCAACTACTTTGAAAAACTTGTGCTTGCTAAAACTGAGAGACTTGGCAAATGTACACTGCTACTTTAACTCATTCACGGCTACTTACTTCCAAATGAAGTTATACTGCCAGAAACACTTGAAATCAGAAAAAAAACAGGACCACACCCAAACCAGATTTTTAGAAATCATTTTGTGTTTTTCTTTGCTGCCAAGTTCTAACAACCATTTTGATTACTAACTTGCTCTAAATAGGAAGCAACTGACATTTCCACCATCACAAACAAAATTTCTGAAAAAACCCACTGAGTTTGCACTCAGTAGCTTTGAAAAGGCGCATTTCAAACTAGCAGCTTTATAAATGCACCTGTAATATACGTAACCTTACACCCATGATTTGGCATTTGGATCTCATCTCTGCATAACAGAACCCAAATGCAAACCAAGCCTCTTTCTTTACACCCTTAAAAGGAAACTGATGTGTTAAGTGAAAATTGTTGAACAGATTTGTTTATAAACTATTGCTCCTACCTCTTCTTTGACTTCTGATACAGTCAGGTCAACAAAAGTTGGTTCATCTGTTACTGTGAAAAACATCACAGCATTCTTTTCTTTCCTATCTGATCTGATCTGCCTGGAAGACACAAAAAGTACAAATTATTTACCACAGTACAAAAAGCATCCTCTGCACCAGAAAAGCGTTATACAGCCTATAAATCACTAGTAAATGTGGTGGTATCTACCATATCCAAAAGCACCACACTGACATTTTAGTCAGAAATTTCAGTTTAGAAAATGTTTTGACTTCCAAGAGCAAAGTAACTCCCAAGTGCAACTGAGCAAGAAAACTTTGAATAAACCTTAGAAGAAGCGCAAGGAACAAGGAAGTTTATTACACACTATGTTCTCGCAGACACTAGTGATACAAATGGCAACTGGAAGCATGCTCAGACACAGCCAAGGAAAATCTCGTCTTCACTCAACAATCAGTGAGTCGAAACCACCATTAAAGAGATCATCACTGCATTTTTCCAGAGTGCCCCTTCTGCTTTACCTTGTCTAATCACAATCACTTGATGAGTCTATGCACAAACTGATCACAGTCACAAATTATGAAAAGCTTACATACCACACACTCAATAATCGGTCGTGTATGGCTCCAGACAAGAAATAAAGTCCTGTAATTCCATCAAAGGGTTTACTTTCATTCATAGGTTTCACTGTGGTAAACATTAATGATGACACTGATGTAGCATGGCCTGTGAAATGCTAAGAGAAGAAACAAAATCTTTCCATGATTGTCATAAGCAGTCATACGGCAAAAATCAAAACATTAGTTAACAAAGAACATTAGGAAGATTCAAGCGTTACTAAGTCAACAAGGACAGCTCAGTGGTTTTTAACTAGTGATCACCTTCCTTTCATTTCTGTACATCAAGGAGGTTTTTTGCTAACCTGCCAGATACCTAGCAACATTTAAAACTTAAAGGGGGAATCAAAGGCAAATTCACAGAGGCTAAATCCATGCAAAAGAAATCACATCCATCAGTACTGCTGTTACTGTCACAAAGCACTCCCCTCTGCCCCCCCAATTTTACACCTCAACCTTTCCAATGGAACTAGATCATTCTCATCTTTAACAATGGACACGTTTGCTGACACTGAATCTGGGCAACACACCACCCCCAAGGCCACCCCCCAAAAATTGGCTCTTCAATCTACTTTTGCATATAGTGGTTTTGGTCACTATAGAATGCAGACATACATGGTAGCTGCCATGTGCCAGCAAGCCCGCAGTAACAGCACATGTGTACACACTCACCTGACAGGAGATTCAGAGACTATCCCTGTCCTGTCTGCTAGCAGGCAAGAGAACACGGCAGCATTCACGGATCAGCTAAAGCATGGCCATTTGCTCAATGTCTGAGCCCTGCTCAGGGAACAATAAGGAGTTGCTCCTATGCCTTCCAACTGTTTCAACAGCAAAACTGATAATGCCATCAGTTACACCAAGTTTAGAAAGGAAACTCGAAGGCTTTGTGGAGGGACTCATATTAAAACCCATGCCAGCAGTAACTGATACGGTGGTGAACTGAGTTCTCCTGACAGAAGGGTATCAGACAGGGACCCAATTAAAAAGAACAGCATCCATCTTTCTCCTACAGCCTTGGGAAAGGATGCTGGCAGCATGCTCAGAAACAAAAATTTAATGTCCTCATTCAATTCTCAGCACATGGAAACCACAGCTTAGGGTACCATCACAGCAAAAAACGTCCAGCAATCCCAAAACTGCTAATTGTATCCTCACACACAGTGAAATGTTTTAGATGTCTGATCAGGAAACACTAGATAGGTAGTGTCACCAATCAAGAAGGGTATTTTTTTGCATCTAGTTTAACAGAGGTACAGAATTACTTACTCTGTAGACTTCTTTGGTCTCCAAGTCCCACAGTTTTATAGTTCTACCGGCTGACAGCAGCATTTTTCCATCTGGACTGATGCATAGACAGGTGACACTGCTATTGTCGCCTTTCCACTTACTAGAATTTGGATGGAAAGTTTTTGTACAAAAGGAGAAAGATGGAGAAATAGAAAAAACAGTATTCATCAGGATAATCTCAAAACCACTGTGATGGAAAATTTAAGGCAAAATTTAAAAACCAGTGATTTAAGTAGTCAAGAGGTCAAAACTATTCTGCTTCTGGACTTTGCCTTCAAATTAGTTTACAAGAAAACCACAACTCAAAAATATGAAGCTATTCAATAGTGAACTGTTGCCTTCTTTTTAAATACTTGCTTATTCTGAATTCCTCTCAAAGTTTTCTACTTCTGAAAATAGGGCAAGAAGAGCCATACCATTTTCAAGACATCTCTATTTACCAAGCCATTCAAAAAGGCCTTCTCAACACTAAAATTCTGAGTTTCAAAGCCAATTCAGCTACTGGCCCTCCTCCCAAGTCTGTGAATGTCACTGACAATCATAAGCTTCACCTTAACGGTCTACAGTTCAAAGCAGTACTTTAAAAAAAAAAAAAAAAAAAAAAAAGATGCTGTCATGAAAAGCCTGAATGTGCTTTATTGATACTTATGTGGTTCTTACAGGACAAAATTGCAAGGAAAGCACTAACACAAATCCTTTACAGATAGGAAGTACCCTGCAACACACCACAGTTTGACTGTAAACAGCCTTCCTGGAAATACTTCCAAATAACTTTCACGTGCCCAAGAAATACCTCTTCTATTTTCTAAAACAAGGATCATTTTTGATAGAAGCTGAACATTTTACAGCCCTCAAACCTGAAAAACAACATTGCACTTCACAGAGAGTATGACAAGATTATGTATTCTCATCCAAAGACAAGGCCATGACTAAGAATTTAAACCACTTATTAACGTAAAAAAGGTTCTGAGCACATCCAGTGTAGAATTACAAATAGCAAATCGTGCTTAACCAACCTGATTGCCTTAATAAGATTGCCTTGGTTGATGAGGGGAGACACATTTAAGTTGACTTCAGCAATGCTTCTGACAAGGTCTGTCATAGTATCCTTGCAGCCAAATTAGAGCTATATAGTCTGAATGGATGGTCTCTAGGGAGAGTAAAATCTGGCTGCACTGCTGAGTTCAAACAGTTGTGATCACTGGTACGAAGTCCAGCTGACGGCCACTGGCCAGTCACTGGTCACTGGTGTAACTCCCTCTAAGGACATCCCAATACTATTTAATATCCTCCATAACTGCCCTAGTCTTCATTAATAATCTCAAAACAGGAAAGAATGCACACATAACAACTTCACACTCAATCCCAAATTAGGGAGAGCAGTTGATATCCTGGAGGACAGGGCTGCTGTTCAGGAGCATCTCAGCAGGCTTGAGAAGAAACAGGCTGTCAGAATCTCAAAGCTGAAGAGGAAAATGTAAAATTCTGCAGGTGAGATGGAAAAACTCTGGTACAGGTTGGGGACAAATAACTAGAAAGTAGCTTTGCAGAAAAGGGACTTGCAGTCCTCACAGTAAAGCTTAGCACAAGCAAGCAGGGAATCCTTGTGACAATGAGGTGAGCTGTCTATTATCTGCATTAGCCAAGTGCTGTCAGCAGGTCAAGGAATGGGACTCCTGGGCTCTGTGCAACTCTTGAAACTCCACCCAAGCACTGCCTTCAGTGGGACAGGACAACAAAGTCACTGACATGGCGGAGTAAATCCAGCGGAGGGCCATGAAGGCACCTTCAGGACCAGAGCACATAATGGAAGAGGGAAAGGTGAGGGAACTGGGTGTGTTCAGTTCTAATAGAGAAGGCTAGAGGGAGATTTAGCACCTTCTGCTACTTTACACAGGGTCCCAACATAATACAGCCTAAGGAGGCATCTCTTGCCTAGGGACACCAAAGAGGCTACTGATGATGGGCTGCCTGCAGTGCCCATGCCAACCTTAATAAAACCAAGAGTGCAACAGTGGGAAATGTCACAGAAAAAGGAACATCAAGAGAAGAATCAATCAGCCATCATACAGTAGGCTTTTATTGAAGAAAGGTAATGAAGATTGTTAACAGAAAACTTTGTTTCTTCTTTAAAGTTTAAAAACAATTTGACTTCATTGCAAAAGAAAATAAATGCCTACAGCAGATGTTTTGCTACTCTGCACTAAGCTCAATTTTGCTCAACACTACTTTTAACGGTAGCAGCCTGCTCAGACAGCCAAGTGGAAGTGTCCCCACTGCACATCAGCAGCAAGCGAAACCAAGTGGGTTATCATCACAGCAAGGCCTTTTGAGAAAAGCTGGGTGCAAACAGCAGGTTTTACTGGAATGAGATCACCCAGCATCTGCTCAAGGACTTTTTTCTACAATTTAGATTTTTCAGAATTTAGTAGGTCTTTTAGTATTTCAGTCTCTCTAGAAGCTGGCATGAAGGGATCCAAACCCCTCTCATAACAATTTCATGTAGCCTTTCCAATACACAGAGGAAGATACCCAACTATGACAATCATGCTTTCATCCCTTAAAACTACTTCTGACCTCAGAAAAATAACAGCCAACAGTCACTTTGTGGGCATGAAGCCTGGAAAGCAGAATGCAGCATTTCCAAAACCTGCAAGAAAGAAAATACACAAAAGCAAGTGTAAAAAAAAGCAAGCAAAAAGCAGCACTACACTCACCACTTTACTTTGCAGGTCTGTGTGCTCCATTCCACGATGTGTTTATCGTCTGAACAGCTATACAAGCAGGAGTTGTCTTGATGCCATCTCACACAGTTTACTCTACTGTCGTGACCACCATCCTACAAAAGATAACAGAGGGTCAACTCACTGGAGTAGTCTTGACGACTGAGTCTTCCCCACACCAACAATGTGAACAAGGTGCTCTTTCAAGAACTAAATTCCAATCACTGGCATCTTGAAGAGTGTGTGTGGTTTTAAAGAACATATATGACAGATATATAAATTAAAGGTATTTCATATTTTGGTACATACACGTAAGTATTTTGGCTTGGCTTATACAGCCGAGAGAAGAGGAGATGTTGTCTACAGCTTCCTCACACAGGGAAGCAGAGGGACAGGCACTGATTTCTCCTGTGGACAGTGACAGAACCAAAGGGAATGGCAAGAATTAGGAAGAAGTGCTGGGAGAGAGAAGAGTTAGGGTGGATATTATGAAAATAATATCCACAGGGCACAACCTCCCCAAGGAAGCAGTCACAGCCCCAAGCCTGCCAGAGTTCAAGAAGCATTTGGACCATGCTCTCAGGCACATGGTGTGATTCCTGGGACTGTCCTGTGCCATGCAGAAGCCTAGAAGATAGTTTAACATGTGTGTCTCAAACACTGATAGCCAGACAGCCATGTAACCAACCAAGGACTGTTGGTAAGAACAGTGTGTGAGAAAGAACAGGATGTAGCTGGAGGAGGGGGCCATGTGAAGGTAGGACACCACTTCCCTGGTCCACCCTTATTCTGCCTCCAGGTGATCAGCACAGCACAAGTGCAGAAAAGACTCAAGAAGTGGGCATGTACTGTTGACAAAAGGTACCCCCCAGAAGGGGGGGGGATCAAGACCACCCAAGATCTCCCCTGCAAAGCCCTCCAGTCCATTTCCAGAAAGGTCTAGAACAAACTGCACACGGTAACTTTGCTCCAGGTGTCTATAAAAAGGTGCTCCCACAAAGCTTGAGTGATGGATGCCCCGAGACACTGGATACCTCATCAGTTTGTTTGATGCTGGAGCCAGGACTCTTCTTTCCTCATTCCTTTCTTTCTCTCTCTTTTGCCCTACCCCTTCTTCAAAATCCACTGCTATGCATTTATATTAGAAGACACCAATTTCCATGCCAAGTGTATAATTTACTGATAAAATTTTGTAGATTTTTGTGGAGCCTGTGCCTTTTGTCATTCCTTTCTGACCACAAGCATCTACACACCTGCATGCTTCCTTCAGGTTCAGGGTGGGATGCCACCAGAGAGGAGTTGGGCTGTGATGATCCCTTCCAACTGAGGATATTGATATTCTGTTTCGACAATTTTTCTAGCACTTCAAAATTAAGGAAAAAAAAAAAATTGTTTTGCCTGCTATTTTTATACACACAGCCCAACAAGGTGAACTGTATGAAATCTGCTCAAAGCAGAATAGCCACAGGTGTCTTGCTGACGTCACCTAAGTGCCTCCTTCCTTAAGGGCACTCAGAGGTGAGTAGTCTTCCTTTTGTATCAGCATTCAGGAGCACAATATTATCAGACTAGAAGACCCTTTAAGCAGTATCACTTCTCTTAACAACCAAAATCTCTGCAACTCTAAATATAACCTTAAATTATTTATGAAAATACTTAATGGAGCCTATTTCACTATTTGGATTGCAACAACCTGCTCAAATTACTCCCAAAGGTACTGCTGCAAATGAGCTTTAAACAAGACAAACTACATTGTAATAAGATATACTGTTCAGTAAAAATAGCTTAAAGTATGTATTATTTTAACAGGAATAATCTTTTAATTCAACTTTTATGTAAAAAACGAAGTGTTCATAAAACCTGCTGTCTTCTATGGAAAAAGAGTATTTTAAAACAAACAGCTACACTTTTCAAGCATAGTTTTACCACACAATAGAGTTGATATTTGTTAGTTACTGTCACTTGCATGCATCATAATTCTCAGAAATTACTGCTTTCTCTAAATCCATGTGTTTATCACCCTACCAATAACTTTGAGTTTAGAAGCAAAAGTACACCCAGGTATCTCAAAAGTATTGCACAGACATTCATATGGATTTATTTTGCTTGTTATGTAACCCACAACTAAAACAGAGGTGCTTGGGAGCTTGGAAAGGCAAAATTAAAGACACTGTATCATTCAAAAAAGATCATGTGCTGAGAGAGCTCAAGAGCTTCCACAAGGGAGGTAAATTTACAGCAGAGTCCATCAGTGTGACAGCCGTCCAAGTGCTGATGAGTTCTCTGCCCTTCCCTCCCACAATGCCATGCAGGAACTGAGGGTATGACAGTCCCATCAAGGATTTAACTGTCCAGTGAGGATTTTCATCATTACTGTTATTTTTAATGTAAAGTAGAAAATCCATGGATGGTATTAGAATTTTGCACTAACTTAGAAACCAAGATTTTTAGGCCTAAACTGACTGAAACATTATTTGGTAGTATGTGTTAAAGAGTGCATTACTTACTAGCTTGCTCTGTAATTCTCCTTTTACTGTGCTGTACAACAAAATGCTACCAACTGCTGTACCAATAGCCAAGATATCTAACTGCTTGTCCACTTCTCCAACTTCAGACTTCCGTTTTTTCCTCTGGGGACCATCCTGGAAAACCAAAAGAGAGAAATCATGAAATTAATCAGTCTGACTGGCTAATCTCAGTGTTAAAGCAGAGGGAAGAAAAACCTTAAGAGAAGTTTGAGACCCAGACAGCCAGCACAAACACCGCTAAGACACAAAATGAACACTGAAGTGTACCTAGAAACTCATCTTGTACCTCCGTGTACAGGGTAACAAACTTGCTATGAGTCACTTGGAAACACCTGGTGGAGGCCATTTTGCTACCATCCCAATCATATGCATGTAGAAAAAAACACATTTAAGTTTTTCACAAGTTTCCTCTCCCAGAGGCAGAAGATTAACATGTTTAGAATACTTCATCCAAAAAATGGAAACACTTGATTGATCAGTTTATTTTTTCTCAAAAGGTAATCAAGAGTCTTGCAAATTTGAAGCATTCATAATGCATCTTAAGAAAGTACTACCCCATTCCACAGAGGGAAGTGACTGGGATTCAAAGGAAAGGGCTCTGCCCAAGACCTGCTGTCTGCACCAGGGGGTCCTCATACGATCAGGTAATTCATAAGTCTTCACTCTCCTGCTCTGCAAGTGCCATCAGCCACCTCAAGGAGGGATTTCACTTTGTTTCCCTTAACCAAAAACTTGAGAATGCAGATCACTATGAAGGGGAGAAGGAATAAAACTCGTTCTTAAACACATGAAACTAAAATAAAGAGGGCAGAAGAAGTCATCATATTTATTCTCACTGGGTTAATCACTAATCGCACACACACACAAAAAAAGCAAAAATAAAAAACCTGTTCAAGGATGTGAAAAAAAATCACTAATGCCACTGAATAGTTTTTAAATTGGACCCTGGTAAGTCTCCTTACATTTGTTACATCATAAACATGATGTAAAAAGCATTCTCTCCAATTTAAAAATTACACACATGTTAATGCTTCCTCTATACAACAGATCTATTTGCACTGACAAGCACCCTGAAGAAGCCTGAGGAGACAAATAAAATGTGAGAAACCAACTCTGTTCAAGTTCCATGTAGTGTAGCTGATCTGCTTTACAGCAGACATGACACAGTGAATACAAGAAATTTCTACTCAGGTCCAGGAATATGACAATCAGGATGTGGCAGTTTTCACCACAACTAAAAGTTTGATAGTGAAGGACAAATACTTTGTCTCTTTGAAGCAGGATTTTCTGCTGCTCTGTATTTAACAGAGCTAGCATCTTCTGCAAAGAATAGTGTTTTAGTTTAGGCTAAGAAATACAAAACTGCTGTAAAGCTAACTTTTACATAAAAAGCAGACTCTTGAGAAAAGAGATTACAATTAGGGCTTTTTTCAAGTAGGCAAAAAAGCAGGCTTTATCTTTCCTGGGAAATAAAAGTATTTATAAAATATTAAAAAAAAAAAGATGCTGAAAAACTAATGGCAATTAACTGAGAATTAACTGAATTTATTTTTATTAATTTAGTATTATATTTTAATAATTAAGAAATTAAGTGAAACTGCTGTCTGACATGCAAAGACAAAGGCCACAGAATGGAAATGCAAGTACAACTCATGTGTTTTCTGGTACTTTTCGATCTCTTTAAACAGTTTTACTAGCTACCCCACACACCCCTGCTGCAAAGCAAAACCAAACTTTTATTCTCTTCCCCTGAATAAATCTTTCAACTAAATTTTTTTTCACCCTACATATCAGTTTGCTATGGCAAATTTCCTTGGAATAACTCAAAGGCACAACAGAATTCTCACAAATACAGTTATTTCCAAGGTCAAGAGAAAGCAAGGGGCAATAAAGGTTTCTCCAGATTTGTTTCAACGTGCATTTCTTTACTGCCCACCCCTTATCAGCAATCTGAGTGGAACATTTTGTCAGAAAGTTCTGCCTCAAGGAATACCAGTAGCAAATTCAGACACCTGTTAATGTTTGAGATTATTTGAAAAAAACTCTAAGAACTTAAAAAAAAAAAAAAAACTAATGTCCCTACCCTACATTAGATTAGCACCCAGAGAGAATAACAACTGCACTTAATATCCATGTGGGATTCTCTTGTGGATCAGGGTCTTAAAAAGAAGATCACTCTGTTGTCATGGGCAGGACAGGCTAAGTATCAGATTCCTTGTCATTCGATTTATTTTGCAGATTTATGGAAACTCAAGCTTATTTAGAAATTCTTCAACTTTGCCTGAAAAAGCACAACATTTTAATTAGTAGAGATGGTTAAAAGATGTCTTTTGAAAAGGAACTGTGCATACATTTTCCCATAATGTTCTTCCTTGACTTGATAAGCCACTGAGACTTTCTAAACAGAAATCTGCTGCTCACATATGAAAAAAAGCACTTAGAACACTGAAATGGGGAGAAACCTAAAGGTCTTCACAGTTGACGGTGACAGCGCAGTTGCAGCTTGTTAGGAAGGAAGTGGAAGAAGGTGTTTCGAATGTTGGAGGTCCACTCTTGCACAAGGCACCTTGTGGAACAGGAGGTGATGGATACTTCACCGGAAGCACGTGGGCAGGGAGCATCCCAGTAAAGCCAGCCCCCTGCATCAGCAATTCCAGAGCCTGCAGTTCAAAATGTGATTTTTAATATTCCCCTGTAACACATGGCCTCCATTAACATGGCACCAGTCCAAAACTGAGTTTAAGTGCAATCTGGCCAAACACCATTTATAGTTACCTACTAGCAGAGTTCTACCCTGAACACCAGATACTCGAACTGCCTAGAGAGATGTCAACTCTCCAGGAACAAAAAGACTAAATAACGCCAGAAAAAACACATTTAATGAAATATTTTTGGCACAACCACCCCAATTTTAGTTCTACAACTCAGTCTATAAAGGCTTTATGGGACAATTATTGCAAGAAACAGTAAGTTTCCCAGCTCCATTTTAAAAAGGACTAGCTTTCAAGCAGGGGACAGGATTCAAACTACTGGAATAACTAGAAAGCACTGAGAGGTAGCTATGGTTATTTTCATATAACCTCAAACCAGGTTAAATTCAAAGACCTGTGGGGCTTAGGAGTGTGTCTTTAAAAAAGGTTATATTAAAAAAAATTTTAAAAGCCCCTCAGAAACTTCCTGTGCTTCACTTACAGTACCACAGCAGCACAGTGCATCTACTATCTACTTTAATTTTATTTCACACAGGACAGATCAAGCCCATTTCCATATGGCAGTTTCAGTGAATTTAAGAGCAAAGAAACTATACAGCTTTGCAACTCATGAACAGATCCCTTTTACTTCAAAGTTACATGACAAAGGAACACGTTCAGGCCATCTAAAACTGACTCTTTCTACTTCATTCTTTGCATGTCCTGTGAGTTTTCAAAGTTCAGGGACTAAGCTGTTCAACTGAGCAAAACAATGTTGGCCTCCTTCAGGTTGATAATCTGTGCTTTAAGCATTTTGAAACAGCCTTAACAGCAGCTCAAATACACTGAATTGCTGATATACCAAGACACCCTTTAAAAAGCACTCCTTATTTCTAATGATAAAGGGGGTGCTTTTCACATACTTTATTCAGGTTTTGCACTCTTTTTTCTCAGGAAATGGTATGTTCCAGCTAAAGAATTACTTCAGCATGAAGAGGACCAAAAGGTACCTCAGTATATATTCTAGATATTTTCAGGTTTGGTGTTCACCTGAGCTGATGTTAACTGAAACTTGATCAAGGTGGAGAACATCCAAGCGCTCCTGGTGAATGCTGTGAGTAGCACTACTGAACACCTTGGAAGATTCTTGGACTCAGGAAGATGAATCACAGTGTAGCAGCTTGCATGGGAGTACTTCCAAGGGTAAGGAAGTGTGGAGAGGTACTACCTTTATCGGAAGGTGAACTAAGTGGGTGCCCAGCAGCTGACCTGCTCTGTAGCATCACCTTTTCAATTACGGCAAGACGTGCCATCAAGTAACATACCTCGCTCCTTCAAGGAAGGCTTCTTCCACGCAGATAATGAGAGACAAATGGTTTTTAACAGTCAGTGCTTCTGCCGAATTTTTGTTTTAAAAAAACACAATACAAAGCCTCCAGAGCCGCCTCCCCCACCGACACGTGAAATTTACCTTCAGCAGCGCAATCCTGGGAGGGGGAGCGGCTCCCCCCGCGCCCCCTCATCCCGAAGCGCGACACACGTGGACATACCCCAAACCCCGGGGCCATAGGGAGACGGGACGGGACGGTGCCCGAACCCCGCGGAGCCCACGGGACCCTCACCCCGCTCGCCGAGCCCCCGCTCCCCGGCCCGCCCGGCCACATGGCGCCGGGAGGGCGGGGTGAAGCCGAGCGGGCCGCGGCCACGCGTCAGGACTGCTCGGGTCGCCGCCATCCCCATCCCCATCCCACCCCTCACGCGTGTCCTCCCGGCGTCCCCGCTCCCTCCCCTTACGCACCTTGCTGGGGGGCTGCCGCGCCCCCGCCGGGGCCCAGGCCAGGCATGTGCAGGCGGCGCTGAGGTGGGCGGAGGGCACGTACTCGTGCTGCAGGCGGCTGCCGGCCGTGTCCCACACGCGCAGCCGCCCATCGGGCCCGCACGAAGCGAACAAGCGGCACCCGCGGGGGGAGAAGGCGCACGGAGGGCCCGCCATGGCGCGCGCTCCCCTCGGCTCTGCCCGGCCCGCCCCGCGCGGCGCAGGCGCGCGTGGCGATAGTCGCGACCGCGAGCCGCGCCCCCTTTTCCCGCCTCCGGCCGCTCCATGAGAGCCTGGCGCGCGCTGCGGCGGGCGGCCGCCTCCTCCTCCTCATCCTCCTCCTCCTCATCTTTTCCTGCCGACGGGAAGCCTCGGAGGCGGGCATGGGAGACTTCACTGTCGCCGCTGGAGCGGCTGAGGCGGCTGCTGCCGCCCGAGGAAGCGGCGGCGGTGGCGCGGTGCGCAGCGGCGGCAGTGCCGCCTCCTCAGGCTCCCCCCGAGGAGGAGAAGAAGGAGCAGGTGGCGGCGGCCGCCTCCTGTCAAGCGCGGGTTGAGGCGGTGTGTCCCCGTTCTGGCCCTTTCCGCGCCGGGGAGCTGGCGCTGGCGGTGGTGCGGAGGAAGCACAACACGACACTGAAGCTGCTGTGCCGGCTGGCGGCGGAGGCGGTGCTGAGCAGCCCCGGCGGTGTCCTGCCCCACCGCGACATCATCGGGCAGCTGCCTGGACAGGTGCTGCTCGCGTCGGGCGGGGCGCGGCTGCTGCTGAGGCGGCCCTCGCTGGACGAATACGTACTCCTCATGCCGCGGGGACCCACCATCGCCTACCCCAAGGTATCGGCCGGGGCTGGGAGGTCGCTGGCCGAATCTCACCTTTAATTTTTCGCCAATAGTAATGTGCCGCGTTTTTCTCACTCGCAGGATATAAGCGCTATATTAATGATGATGGATATCCACCCAGGAGACACCGTGTTGGAAAGTGGTAGCGGGTCGGGTGCAATGAGCTTGTTTCTGTCAAGAGCAGGTGAGAAACTGGCTTTAGACAACACAGAATTTATTTCTTTACCACAACTTGGAAGGTTTTTTTTTTTTTGTCTAGATGCTTATGGCTTTCTTATGGTCCTTACTACTCAGCTCATAAAATCTTTACTGCAGTTCACACGTTCACATGTAGTTCGTTGACTTGAGAGAGAGTTATATTCAAACCATTCTGACTGTGCTTAGGGGGCTGTAGTGTAAGTGGTTATTGAAGGCCTCACAGAAAGCTCCGTTTCAGCCATGCCTTAAGATCTCTCAACTGCAGCTGGTCTTGATATTTTGGGCCCAAATTTCAAGGTCAGCAGTTGTACCTGTGCTCCCTCTCTCCTACCTCCTATTATTGCTATTGCTTGGTTTCTTCTTATCATTTTTATGGAATAAACTAGTGTTTAGGGTTTTTAATTCCATTGGGATTTTGAAACTAATGTGGGATTATCCTCAAAGCAACCATTGCTGCTGTAGGAGCTAGAAGCTGACCAAACAGAAGATAAATATCAGTGCTTCTCTTTTCATTTAGAGAAAGGGAAAGTAGGAGTCATTAGCTTTCCTCACCTTGCCCTACAGGAAGACCCAAAACCCAAAGAGATGGAATACCTGTAACTGGTTAAGGCAAAAGTTAGCTCTCACTAAATACAGCAACTGATTTTTCTGCCTTAGGTATTCTGCTGTTTTCTATAAGCACACCTGAACTTGCCAATTATTCTTCTCATTTTTCAATCTTGTCCAACACTTTAATTCAGCTGTAAATGGGCCAAGCTGGTAAAATCATTGGCATTACCAGGCTGTTAACCCTGTCCAGGGGAAGAATTCAGTTGTTGCGTGCCAGATCAGCTCTATTTTGAGGAGTGGGAAAAAGCTTTGAAATTGCATTGATATTTTCAAATTTATTGAATTTAAATTGGCACCAAATACAGCCACTTTTAGTCACAGCTGAACATACTTCGGTGCTGAGACAGAAGTAAATAAATTTGATTTGCTGTTTCCTAATGGTGGCTGATTTTGCCACCATTAAATACACACCAGTGATACCCAACAAGGAAAACAGCTGCTATGTGGGTAAATGCTGGAATTCAGACCTAGTGGACACATTACCAATGTGCATGGAATTATTTAATTTCCAAAATTCTTGTTGATTTAACAGATTTCATTCATCTCTTGTTATTAATTTGATGTTTTCTTTTCCATTCTTTCTTTAATCATTCCCAGAAACTACTGACATGAAACAGGATAAAGTTAAGAGAGTGGTATTTGCCATGACTTTAAAATCTTTGAGAACTGGAAAATACGATGTCTGCAAACTTGACATACTGTAGTTTCACAGTAATTAAGTTTTGCTTAGCTATTTCACCTTGTTGTTATTTTAAAAAAAAGCAGTTTCAAAAAGAAGGAATTACTTTGAATGAGTGGGGGTATGACTGACACCCCCAGTGTGAAGAATTTTATTTTTCTGATGTTTCTAAATGATAATCTGAAGTAACAAGGAGCTGGCACTGTGACTCTACAACTGATTCAGGTGATCAAAGGTAACATGCTGAAACCTTCCATTTCTTCTTACAAGCTGGTTCTAGCCTTTTTCTTATGCAGGATCAAGGAGCGACTGTTCGGAAATTCATCTCGTCTTTTACTCAGTGGTCTGAATGGATTCACAGTGGGATCACATAGGTGAGGGAAGGAGCCTGGTGACTGCAAAGTGAAATGGCTTAGAAAGGCACAGAACTCACCCAGGGAGCTGCTGCTTTCTGAAAGCTCCCTGCAGCCATTCCAAAGTAGCAGGGAGACAGGAGCGAGTGGTGGAATAGGCTTGAAGAATTGGAGTAATACAAATATGGAATAATACAGCAGTGCATTGCTGTCTGCCTGCACAGCCTGGAAATGCTTCCTTTTTGAGAAACATTGTACATTGGACTCACGGTAAATTTTAGAATAGTAAATATAGACTTAATAATTTATTACTGTTGCAGACAGTAACAGGAAAATTACACAAACATGGGTAAATCAAAGAGTACGCTGGAAAACTTCTCTGTGGGGCTGAGGTCAGTGAGCAGGTTTCCTTAGCCTGTGAGCCATGAGCACTGGTGCAGCATTCTCAGCTGGTACCTCTGGCTGCTCTAGCAGAAGAATACTAACACAGCACTTTTTCTGCATATGTTTGTTTTAAATTTAAAGGAAACATAGATTGTCATTGATTGTTTCATATGATATAATTTCCTAAAGTGGAGATGGAAAGGTGTACTTATGTTATAGACTGGGTTTTGCTTTTGTTTTGTTTTGTTTTTCCCAAGTCTTTAAAACAGCAGTGTAAAGTGGTGAGTGGAGTGTCTTCTGTTTGTTTTCAGTTGGGCCCAAAGGACGTGTTCTAAGTTATGAAATCAGAGATGATCATCATAGTTTAGCTAAGAAGAATTACAGGCGCTGGCGTTCTGCATGGGAAATAGGACACGTGGACGAATGGCCAGATAACGTGGAGTTCATTCTTAAAGACATTTCAACAGCTGCTGCAGATATGAAATCTGTAACACTTGATGCAGTGAGTGAATCCAAACAACTCCCCCATTTGACACGTCTTTTCTCCACAAATGGAAACATCTTGTGCTCACACTCACAACAGGATTCCCATATGAAATGTAACATGAGAAATAATAATCCACTTCCTCATCAGTGAAAGAAACATTGTAATTTTTTGTCAGATACAAATGTTTTCAAGGTTTCAGTTACAGGTTGTCAAATGAAACACTGATAAAGCTGTACTATAGAAGTGCTACAATTAATTACTCCTGTCTTGTAAGCGAAGACCAACTCATTTTGAGAAACTGATACTTTTATGAGGTACATATTTCCAGCATTAAATTTTAGAAGAATACAAAACCTTATTAAATACGTAACTGTGTGACCACTTTGCTATCAGCTATATAGAATGCACAATGTAACTACTTTGTAATTTTGAATATGCTGTGTCTTGCTAGCCTGTTCTGCTTCTTTGTATCTAGAGTTCCTAAAAAAGGAGTCATGCTGGGGAAAACAGCTTCATGTTAATCACTCTTCTCTGTCGAGCTGACAAATTACTTAGAACTACTTATTTACGAAATGCTTAAACAAATACCAATTTTTAAATTGGTACAAGCAAAGGAATATAATACATAGCATAAAAATACCATTGCAAAAAACATTTTAAGTAACCGTCCTGCAGAAGGGATCAGATATTGTATATCCCATTGTTCTACAATCTGATTAGCTTCCTAGCAGAAGATGGATAAATTGCCAAAGACAGTTTTTTTAATTTTGAAACTGACAAGTTAGACATTGTGATGATAATGTGCTCTTTTTATGCATTTGAACAATCTTTTTTTTTTTTTCACATTTGAGAAATACGTATTCAAATGTGTTAGTAAATGTAGTTGTCTAAATTTTTTTTTTACTGTCAGGATTATGGGATTTAATTACTGGGAGGCTTAACTTCCTACAGACCTATTTAGTTGGTCAAATGCTAGTTGCTGTTTCAACAGAAATTCATTTGGAAGTAGAGAGGGTTTCATTTTGCGTAAGTGTGCACCTCAGGTTTTGAGAGACAGCAATAAAAGTGGTTGTATGCATCTCTTTTCCATAACCTTTTTTCTTCCCAATGTTGTGTATTACACTGATAGATGTACATATGTTTTCCCAGTAAACATTAATATATTTTTTTTTCTTGCAGGTAGTTTTGGATATGCTGAACCCTCAGTGTGCTCTGCCTGTTGTACACCCAAGCCTCAAACAAGGTGGGGTGTGTGCTGTGTACTTAGCAAAGTAAGTGTTTCTTTCTGGCACCTTTATGCAGGCATTACCTGGCCTTGGCACAAAACCAAGTATCTTCTGAAATACACACCCAGCATTAATGAAATGGTTAACAAAGTTGGGTTTTTTCCCCATGTAACTTTCTTTGGGAGCTGTACTCAGTATAAATTACACTTGGCCAAATCCTTTGGCATCTACCTGGGGAGTGTTCTCATTCTGGTCAGTGAAGTTTGGGCTTATGGCATCCTCAAAGTAACCGTACTGTTCTCCAATGCAATAGTCAGGTTGCTCCTTTACCCTAAAACTGAAGGACCTGTGTAACTTCAAAGGGAAAGAATGTGCCAAAGTCAGTAGAGCTGAGATTTTGTGATTTGAGTTTTCAAAATACTACTTTTTGTT